GAAGGAGGGGGAGGAGGAGGAGGAGGAGGAAAAGGAGGAGGAGGAGGAAGAGAAGGAGGAGGGGGAGGAGGAGGAGGAGGAGGAGGAGGAGGAGGAGGAGGAGGAGGAGGAGGAGGAGGCGGGGGGGGGGAGGAGGGCCAATCTGCGAGGCCCCTGCCTGAGGACGGGGCAGGGTGGGCACCGAAGGACACCATAGATGCTTCAACAACCAATGGCGGGCACCATAAGCGCACCCACAACCAGTGGAGGCAAACCGAGCGTCCTCCACCATTCCTGTCTGCCAGCAGTCAGCGAACTTTTCAACTTGATGCTTCAGCCTCCCTCCGTCCCCCGCGCTCGCCCGCGGGCGCCTCGCGGCGCGCCCCGCGGGCCGGCCCTGGCCGGCCCAGCGGCCAAGACCGAATGACGATCTCAAAACATGTGTTTCACTGATTATTTTCGCCCCATGGGCCGAAATGCTGTGCTTTTGCTTTGCCTTTGCCCGTTCCCCGTGGCGCATCGCTTGGCGCGTTGGCGCGTCTCCTGGCGCGTCCCTTGTGACGTCCCTTGGCGTGACGCCCCCCTAGCACGCCCCTCGGCGCGTCCCGTGGCGCTTCCCCTGGCTCGTCCTCTGTCGCGGTCCTTGGCTTGTCCCCTGTCGCTTCCCTTGCCCGTTCCGTGGCGCGTCCCTTGCCACGTCCCCTGGCTCGTCCGCTGCTTGAGCGTCCCTTGGGACGTCCCCTGTCATGACGTCCTCTGGCACGCTCCATGACACGCACCTTGGCACGTCCCGTGGCAGGTCCCTGACACGTTCACGGCACATCCCTTGACACGTCCCCTAGCGCATGCCCAAGTCCCGAGTGCTCCCCTGGCAAATCTCGTGGCGCGTCCATGCGCCTTGCGCCCCGTGTCGTCTCGTCCCGCTTCGGAATTGAGTCTGGTCTTAAGCTCGAGCTGATTGAGCGCCCCACACGTTTCGATTGCAGTCAGCTTTGGGCCAGCTATGCGCTCAGGCAGCTCGAGCTCAAGATCCAGATCAGTTCGGTCAGGATTCGGATGTCAAGGGCCAGTGCATCCACAACGCTACAGGGCACAAAGCAGTTCATCGCGGCATGACGCATCTCAAATCGGCACGGCACAGCACAGCACAGCCCCTGGCACGGTACATCACGATCGATACCTTCAGCATTGCCATTGCCTGTCGCCTGATCAGGTGCCTTGGAAACGCTGCCACGCCTCGCATCTCTGAATTCTATTCGGGGCCGGTGGGCCGATTTCATGCTTACATGCAGGGCTTGCAGAAGGTGATCTGTTTTCGTGTGCTTGTCCCGTCCGAACTTTCTCGCTCCTTCCCCAAAAAGGTACTCCCGCTGCAACATCGGCTCCATGTCCGCGTTCTCGGTACCTCAGACCTGTTCCCCCGCTGCAGAATTGGCCTCGCTTGTGCGTTTTCGGTCCTTCTCAATGGTGCTCCCGCGGGTAGCGTTGGCCTCCTTCCGTGTTGTCGGTCATTACACGTAGGGTTCCTGTTGCGGTTCTGACCTCATCTCCGCATTGCTGTCTTTCTCAGAAGTGTTCCCGCTGCATCGCTGGCGTCATGTCTGCTACGAAATGTCGCTATGCGATGCCCAGCCTTGCTCTCCAAAGCTGTGGCATGCTATGTTTGATTACGCAATGGCATGCCATTATGTTTTGTGTATCGCCATGCCATGGTATGCCAATTCGTGTTGTGCAATGCGCCGCTATGCAATGTCATGCCTTGCTGCGCAATGCTATGATACCCAATGCTTGGCAACGCAATGCCACGCCATGCTATGCCGCCGTGCTACGATCTGCCGTGCTCTCCTACCCCATGCTGTGCCATGCTATGCTGTGCGGCGTCTACCCTTTCGGGATCAATGGCTTATTCGGCACCCGACTGAGCCAATAGAGAGGGGCTCTCCGCAATGGGCAGGGATGGAAGGGAGGGGTAAGACGTCGCATATGACGCGAACGCACCTAGCTTGCTTCTCCTTCCCCGCATTTTCCCCCTGGCGTCCGAGGGGGACGGGCCCTGTCTGCTCTTCGCCGCCCCACAGGTGGTCGGAACGCTGATCATGTTGCCCGTGTACTACAAGTTGCTGGGAGACGTGATGGAGGGCAGCATGTCCTCCCTCCCCCAAGCCCTCCATCCCCTCCTCCCTCCCTCCTCTCCCTCCCTCCCTCCCCCCTCCTATCCCTCCCCCGCCCCCCTCCTCCCTCCCTCCCCCCGTCCTCCCTCTCTATCGCTCCCTCCTCCCTCCCTCTCCCTCCCCCTCCGCCCCGCTCCGAGGCCCTGGGCGCGGACGCCCGGCATCCGCGAAAACCTCGCGCGGGGCGGTTGCCAAACGCGCGCCGGCCCGCGCCCCCCGCAGGCGTGCGGGCACGGCCGTGCGCTCCCCGCCGCCGCGCGGCCGCGGCCAGGCCCGCGCCGCCTGGGGGGCTCCCCGCGCCCGCGGGGCGGAGTCGGCCTGGCACCGGCGGGCTCGGCGGGCGTGCCTGACCGATGTGCGCAGCAGCTTCACGACGGCGCACACGTGGGAGAAGCGCGCTTCCTGTTTCCTGCTCGTCGTTCCTCCCTCCTGCGGATCGCCTCTCTTCTCTGCCTCGGCCTCCCCTCTTCCTCCTGTGGCCGCAGCCCTCGGCCCCCCTCCTGCCCCACCTCTGGCGCCTCGCTTCCTCTGCCTCCTCGTCCTGCCCTCACCTTCCTTCTCTGCCTCAGCCTCCTCTTCCTCCTAGTCTCAGCCCTCAGCCCCTTCCTGCCATACCTCTGGCGCCTCGCTTCCTCTGTCTCCTCATCCTGCCCTCACTAGGGGGTCACCTGCGAACCTTGCCCCTACCCCCCACACGACCCCCCGAACCCCACCGTCCCCCTCAGAAATCGTGTAGGGGGTAGGGACCGGGTTCGCAGGTGGCCTCCTAGTTAGGGCAGGTCGAGGAGACAGAGGAAGCGAGGCGCCAGAGGTAGGGCAGTAAGGGGCTGAGGGCTGCGGCTAGGGGGAAGATGAAGTTGAGGCAGAGAAGGAAGGTGAGGGCAGTACGAGGAGGCAGAGGAAGTGAGGCGCTAGAGATAGGGGTAGGGTTTGCATGTGGCCCCCTCCTCACCTTCCCGCGGGCCCGGACCCAGCGCGCGGCTGCGCGGGTCCTGGGTGCGCGTGGCGGGAGGCGACGCGACGGGCGGCGGAGACCGTGCGACAGGCAGAGGCGGCTTTTGCGAGGGGCAGGCGCGATCCGAGGAGGGCTGCCAGCACGGCGCGTGCGGCGCGGCCGGCAGCGTCGCGCGGCAGTGCAGGGTGCTCAGCGCTTCTGGCGCCTCCTCCTCCTCCTCCTCCTCCTCCTCCTCCTCCTCCTCGGGCTCGTCCTCCTCCTCCTCCGCCTCCTCCGCCTCCTCCCTCCTCTCCTCCCTTCCTCCGCCCTCCTCTCCCCACCTCCTCCTCCTCCTCCGCCTCTCCTCCGCCTCCTCCTGTCCGCTTCTCCTCCCTCCTCCGCCCCTCCCCGACTCCTCCGCCTCCTCCCTCTCCTCCCCCCTCCTCCTCCGCCGTCCTCTCCTCTCAGCCTCCTACCTCCTCCACCTCCTCCTCCTCCGCCTCCTCCTCCGCCTCTTCCTCCGCCTCCTCCTCCTCCTCCTCCACCTCCTCCGCCTCCTTCTCCTCTGCCTCCTCCGCCTCCTCCTCCTGCTCCTCCTCCTCGTCCTCCGCATCCTCCTCCCCTTCCTCGGCCCTCCTCCTCCTCCTCCCCCTCCTCCTCGCCTGGGGGAGTCTCCCGATGAGAACCCGCAGGAAACACGTGGTCGCGCCGAGCGTCGCCAGCGCGCGGTGCGCGGTGTCGGGACTGCAGCTGCGGAGGGCGCTTGGCCGGGCATGCGGGGGCGGTGAGGGCAGGCGGGCGAGGGGCGACGGTTGTCCGCCTCGTCGTCGTGGGCCCTGGTCCCCCGCGTGGTCGTGGCCTGCGTAGGCCGAGAGGGGGGGGGAGGGATGGCAGCCGGGGCGGGCGGGCGGGTCGGTAGGACCCGTCGGCACCGACGACGGCAGCGGCACCAGTGGAGGGGACAGGCTGACCAGCGGGAGCCGCAGTGCGGGCAGCGACGGGGACCGCGGGGGGGGGCTTGAAGATGCGTGGGTGTGCACACAGAGAGGGCGCAGAGCAGCTCGAAGCTCGTGCAGAGGGAGGTCTCGGCGGACGTCTTCTCCTGGTCCTGGGCGCGGGGGGCGCCCAGGGGGCGTCGTCTGGGACTCCGCGTGGTGCGTGCGCCCTCGGCCACTGCGCGAGGCGGCGTGGATCGACGCGAACATCGTGGCGCGGACCAACAGGAAGATCGCAGAGCGGCACGCTCCAAGGGAAGGCTCGTGCCGACGTCGCCGACAGGGCAGAGCCCCTGGTGCGCGCGCCGCTCTGGGCGGGCTGCACGCCGTCGTCCCGCATGGCGCGCAGGAGCCCCGCGGCGGCGGAGGGAGGAGGAGGCGGAGGAGGAGGAGGAGGAGGAGGAGGAGGGAGAGGAGGAGGAGGAGGAGGAGGGGGAGGAGGAGGAGGAGGAGGAAATGGAGGTGGTATAGGAGGAGGAGGAGGAGAGGAGGAGGAGGAGGAGGAGGGGAGGAGGAGGAGGAGGAGGAGGAGGAGGAGGAGCACGGCGGTGCGGGCCCTCGCCCGTGGCGGCGCGCGGCGCGCGAGGGAGCCGCGATGGGGCGGGTGCCGCCCGGAGGAGCGGAAGGAGGCCTCGGGGGGCGGGCAGCCTCGGACGGCTGCGCTCGGTCACGGGGGACCTACGCGGGAGAGGGGGGGAGAGAGAGAGAGAGAGAGAGAGAACAAAAAAAACGAGAGAGAGAGAGAGAGAGAAACGAGAGAGACAGAGAGACAGAGAGAGAGAGCATGAAATAGAGAATGATAATGAGAGAGGGAGAGAGAAGTGACTAAAGAAAGAGAGGGAGAGAGACAGAGAGATAGAGAGAGAGAGGGAGACAGAGAGAGAGAGAGAGAGTGAGAGATGGCAAACGAATACAGAGAGGTCTATATCTGCCGGCATGGTCTACATCGGCCTGTGCTTCGGGGTCCGCGCCCCAGCCTGAGAGGGAGCAGAGGGACAAGGCGGGGGAGAGGAAGAGGGGGGCGAGGAGTGGCACGGAGCCGGCGGACGGGCGGAAAGAGGCAGAGGTCGAGGGTGGAAGAGGGACGAGGAGGAGGAGGAGGAGGAGGAGGAGGAGGAGGAGGAGGAGGAGGAGGAGGAGGAGTTGGAGGACGAGGAGGCAGGGAGCAAGCGGACGCGGGAGGAGGAGGAGGAGGAGGGAGGAGGAGGGGAGGACAAGGAGGAGGATGAGGAGGGAGGAGGAGGAGGAGGAGGAGGAGGAGGACAATCCTTAGTCGGAGAGTCCAGCGGATCGCCAGACGAACGACGGGGCGGACGATGCCAGGTTCGTCCGCATCCAAGTGACGCAAGGCGGCGGGCGCCTCGCTCGTCTCTGTGCGTAACTCGGACAAGAGAAACTCCCTGACGGCCCCAGTGGCCCCTGAGAGTTACCGAGGGGGTCCACGCTTAGCGTCGTGACTTGGCTCTGGCGGCTCCCCGGCGACATTACCCCCAGGGAAGAGGGGGCCCCTGCCGGGAGGACCCCCCACGGCTTGCGGCGGCGGTCCCTGGGGCGTGGGGCATGTGAGGAGGAGGAGGAGGAGGAGAAGGAGGAGGAGGAGGAGGAGGAGGAGGAGGAGGAGGAGGAGGAGGAGGAGGAGGAGAAGGAGGAGGAGGAGGAGGAGGAGGAGGAGGATCGTGCTGCGGCGGCCCGTGGGACGCGCTGCATGCGGCCCGCACACGTGAGCAAGCGCCTATGGCGGCCCCTGGAGCTTGACAGAGGCTGCCCCGCAATTCCCTTTTCTGGGCCTCCTGGCCCTCCGTCGTCGCCACCGCTGGATTCGCCTCGAAATTCTGATCAGAAAGCACCCCAGGAGAGTTCTGGGGAGTGGCGGTATCGGTACCTGTTGGTTCCCCCAATACGCTTGCGGTGGCCACTGGTGCTTGCTGCTTGCCCGAGGCCCGAAGCTGCTCCCAGCATGACAACACCATCACGGCCCCGCGCGTGAGAGCAAGCGCACAAGGGGGCCTGCTGTCCTTACCCCGCATATGGAAGCATGCTTTCGGATTCGCGTGCCCTCGTGCGCACTTCGCGGCAGACCCGGCCTTCCACCGGGACGTGCTGGAGGCTGCGCCGCACCAGGAACCACGCGGTGCGGCGGGCCCTGGGCCTGCTGGAGGTAGCTCTGCAGGTGAACACGGAATTTAGGACTCTTCGTGTGCAGTTCGCGGCGATCTCCGCCCTTCAGTAGGACGTGCTGGAGGTTGTGGGTTGCACGTGAAACTACGCGGTGCGGCGGCCCCTGGAACGTGATGGAGGCTGGTTTCGACCTTACGGCGGCCCCTGGCACTTGATCCAGATTTGTTCCGCAAGTAAATATTTAATGGCGTGATCCTAACCAAGTAGGGGCCTTCTTGCATCCAAGGAAGTTCAAGGCAGTCCAGAGCAATGCAAACCAATCCAATGCAAAGCATTGCCTGGCGTTGCTTGGCATTGCTTGGCATTGATTGGCATTGCTTGGCATTGCTTGGCGTTGCTCGGCGTTGCTTGGAATTGCTCGGCATTTCTTGACATTGCCTGGCATCGCTTTAAAACTATGTGGCATTGCCTGGCATTGTTTTGCACTGCTTGGCGTTGTCTGTTATTGCTTGGCGTCGCTTGGCAGTGCTTGGCACTGGCACGGGCAACCCCGGGCACCCACCCGTTCATTTCACGAACAGGCGAGGCACCCCTAGTCGCCGAGCGCGTCCCACTGTTCGCAAAGCGCCTACTCGCAAACGTCCGAAAAACACATGCCTGCTCCGACGGAGTGTATCGTAGATCCCCGGCGGCGGATCCAGGCCGTCTGCGAGCAGTTACTGTGCGAGTCGTGGAGCGCGCTCGTCTGCACAGGCAGAGCTCGGGAGAGCGCCGCCCTGGGGCCTGCTCGAAGAAGCTGCCCCCCCCACGCGCGTAAGCGCAGACGCCGACCGCGGGGCGAGACCCCTGCGGATGCGGCGAGAGGTCCAATCTCCGTCGCCCTCAATGGCTTGCCACCGTGGTGCAAACGGCGTGCCAGACGTTGTTTTGCCCTGTGTAAGTTTAGCACGTTTCCAGTGCGGCGAGAGGCTCAGTCTCCGCCGCCCCCTGTCTCAAGGGAGGAAAAACCACCCGCACCGGACTATTGGGGTTCACTGCACGGCCCTGGGCGTTTCACTGCAACAGCCCTGCCCTGTTCGATTCCTTCGTTGGGCGCGCTTACGAAACGGCTTCGCGCGTCGGGGTGGTTATGTATTATCGGGGGTGGAGTTGTGTTGACCTCCATTGATGGCCTGCCACCGTGGTGCGCGGCGTGCTGGACGTTGCGCTGCCCTATGCACGTCTGACCTGTCCCTCACCACCCACCAGACCACCCCCAACCCAGCCCGAAGGCCTCCATTTGCCCTCCATTTCCAGTTGGGGGGGGGGGGGTCTGGGAACAGCGAAAAAACACATGTGGAACCCTTACCCCCCCCCCAACCCGAAATTCGGGTCTTCGGGTTGGGTTGGGGTGGTCTGGTAGGTAGTCAGTCCCCAGTGGGGGGCCTCGGAGGCCTCTCCGCGGCCCGCCGCCCCCGAGGAGGGGGGCCCCCCCGCGAGCGCTCCCGGCCGTCGGCCTCTTCCCCCGCGCCGTGCGGGGCCCCGGGGCGGACCCCCAGGACGGCCAGGGCGGGGGACACCCCCCCTAACCGATCTGGACGCCCTCCTCCTCCTCCTCCTCCGCCTCCTCCTCCTCCTCCTCCTCCCTCCTCCTCCTCCTCCTCCTCTCTCCTTCTCCTCCTCCTCCTCCCCCTCCCTCCCCCTCCTTCCTCCTCCCTCCCTCCTCCTCCTCCTCCACCCCGACATGGGTACGGAAAGAATGGGTACAATGCCCAACAGCAGTTCTTGTTCATTTTGAACAGGACTCGCTGTCCACGCCGCCGCGGCCTGTGTCCATTCGAGACAGAAGGCCGCCTGCCCAACAGCGGCCGCTGTTGGTTTGGGACAACATTTGATGTTGGGCATTGTACCCATTCTTTCCGTGCCCATTTCGGGCGTCCAAAACCGAGGAAAGAGCCAGCAAACCGAGGAAACTCGGCCCCCTGACCGAGGAAGACCCCCAGCCGCGGAAACACACAAAAGCACGCCGGGAGAAGCGATTCGGGGGGGGGGGGTCTCGCCAGGGCGGTCCCCGAGAGGGCTGCGGCGGCCCCGAGTGAGTGCCCCGGCTGGCCCCAAGGTGTCTCCAAGACGGGCCAAGACGGCCCCAGCATGGCCCAGGATGCCTTCAAGGTCGCGCGGGACGGCCCCCAGGAGGCTTCCAGGGCGGGGGACACCCCCCTAACCAAGGAAAGAGCCAGCAGACCGAGGGAACTCGACCCCCTGACCGAGGAAGACCCCAAGCCGCGGAAAACGCGAAAACACGCCGGGAGAAGCGGTTCGGGGGGGGTCTCGCCAGGGCGGTCCCCAAGAGGGCTGCGGCGGCCCTGAGTGAGCCCCAGATGGCCCCAAGGTGTCTCCAAGACGGGCCAAGACGGCCCCAGGATGGCCCAGGATGCCTTGAAGGTCGCGCGGGACGGCCCCCAGGAGGCCTCCAGGGCGACCCAGGAGGCCTCCTCCAAGAGGGCCTCCAGGACAGTCCGTAGCCACTTTGGCTCAAGCCGCCTCGGCTCAGGCCAGATTGGTTCGACCAGCTTGGGGCAGGCTGATGCGTTGTGGCGTCTGTTTTTTTCCGACGGGGCCGCACTCGTCCGCGCAGTATGCATGCCGTTGACCTTGCGCGAATGGCAGCAGAAATGATGGCAAAGTTGGTGCGCCTTCTCCACGAATCGCAACGCTCGAACATATGATATTACGTATTCGCCGCAAGTTGTGCCATTGCTCAATGTCTCGCTTTGTAGCGCGCAGGTCTGTGTTTGTTTCATTTGCCTCGCGCATTACTGCTTCTCAACTGCCTGGTCAATGGCACACGGCCTTGCAACCGCTCAAGCGATTTGCGGCGACATTCAACACTCAGGATATCGTTTTGAAGGACCTTGAGAAAGCTGTCGAGGATGCCAGGAAGAGAATTGTGCTGCGAGATCGAGGGCACACGTTGCGAGTTCCCCGCCAGCCGAACGATGCAGGTGATTGGCGGTGTTCCCAGTGTGGGTGCTATAAGGCACGGGGTGCATTCAGCATTCGCTCAGTGTCTCCCACTGGCTTGCAAAGTTACTGCAAAGAGTGCCAGTCGGTCAGGAACTATTTGCATCGATCCACCTTGAGCGGCTGCGTCAAGGGCCTCATTTCGTCATCCAGGTACCGAGCGTCGCAGCGTGGCTCCAGCCACGCGCTGGTTGCCGACGATGTGTTCGCGATGTTGTTGGAGCAGCAAGGGCGTTGCTTCTACTCTGGAGTGCCTCTCAATTTCTTGCAGCCGAACTCTCACTGGAGAATGTCTCTGGAGCGTATCAGCAATAACAGTGGCTATAGTCGCGACAACTGCGCTTTAATTGCTGCTGAATTCAACACGTCTGACACTAGCATTGGAAGGCATGTGGCGTCGCCTATTCATGGTTCTGCTCAGTGGTCAAGATGTAAATTCCAGCAAGTGCCAATCCTACGACAGGCGCCACTCGACTTAACAGAACTATGCAGCCATGTCCAGGAGGCCCGCTGGAGCGGTCGCCGTGAGCCTGCTTCGCGTGCCTCACGCTGCAGCCCAAGGATGCCGAACGCAGCCGGCGAGTGGAGGTGTTCGGTTTGCTTAGCGTATAAGCCAGCAGGCTCGTTTTATGCTCGCAGACGGGGTGTCTCTCAGATTCTGAAACTCTCAAGTCGATGCAAGGCATGCGAATGTGCATCTTCGCAACTTCGCCGCGCATCTCTGCGCGGAAGTGTTCTGTCCATCATGGCTGGCGCCGCATCGCGTACGGCAAAAGTTTGGAATCAGTCTTTCGAGCTGACCCTCGACACTCTGCTAGACCAGCTTTGGGCACAGCGTGGGAGATGCTATTACTCAGGCGTTCCAATGGAATATACGACACCACATTCGCACTGGCGAATGTCATTGGAGCGCTTAGACAATGAGCATGGCTACAGTCCAGAGAACTGCGTATGGGTTGCCAATGAGTTCAATACGCCCGACTACAGCCGTAACTCTGCCAAGTTTGAAGTCCACGGCACTGCGCAGTGGTCAAGAGCGAAGGTGGACTACGTCTGGGGGGCACAGCCGCAGCAGTGCACTGATCTTGTGCGCGGCACTCGACAAGTAGATGGCCGATGCGCACGAAAAGAAAGGGGACCTCCAGGACGGCCCGGCAGGCCACAATCGTTGGTTTCTCATGTGTTTTTGGCGAATGTGGACGTTAGCTCATTTTCGGGCTCTCCGACGGCCGAGGACGGCCTCAGAGGCTGCCGAGGCAGCCCTAAGAGCGCGCAAGAAGCTTCCGAGATGGCCACCTGACGGCCCAAAAGGCCCCCAAGACGGCCCCAAGAGGGCCCCAAGACGGCCCCGAATACCTCCAAGACGCCCAAGATGGCCTCCAGGATGGCCCTGAAGCGTCCCAATAGGCCCCCAAGACTGCTTCCGACGGCGTCAGACGGGCCAGGAACGCCCTCCGACGGCCAAGGAGCCTTCCAACGAGCTTCCACAGACCCCCAAGAGGCCCCCAGGAAGTTTCCAAGAGGCCCCCAGGAAGTTCCCACAAGGCCCCAAGAGCGCCTCAAGAGGCTCCCAAGAGGCCTGGTTCTCCTCCGTTTCCTCTTTTCTCTTCTTTCTCCTTAGAATAGTATGATTATATGTTCTTCTTCTTTCTTCCTCACGAGTCATTTCGCCACGGTTATGAAAACACATAGTCCGATAGCTTGACCGAGCTCTGGCCGCAACGTTCGGCCACAGAGGCACTTCCAAAAGGCAGAGGGCGGCGATGATTCGCAGTAGGCGTCTTCGATCTTGAGGGGGAGGCCAATGCACTCCCCATCGCAGTCAGATGGGAAGACATGCGCCCCCGCAGGAGACTGCGAACCAAAGTCGGGCTCCACCGTTTGGCCCTATCCCTCTCACGAGCCGAGGGGTCCGCCAACATATCGCTCTTACGACTCACTCTTGCGACTTACGCGTGCTCCTTGAGCTCGCTGCTCGCTCCGTCTGCACTAGAGTTGGTATAGCTTCGATGTTGTATACATGTTGTAAGCGAGTGTGCACAGGTGTACCTATAAACAAATACACATATATATATATACATATATATATGTATACGTACTATATGTATGCCTATATATAGATGTATGTATAAATACGTAGAAAGAGGGAGAGGAAGAGAGAGAGAGAGAGAGAGCGAGATCGCGGACGATCACGGCCAGAGCTCTCGGCCCCGCCTCGACGCGCGGCCCCTCGAGTGTGGACCGATTCGCGAGGCGGCCCAGGGGGGGCGCAGCGCCGGGCATAGCGAGAGGCGCCGCCGTCTCCATCTCCGACGCGCCTCCGGGCGGCGGGGCGATGGGCCAGCTCGGGCGTGCTTCTGCAGGGGAGGAGGAAGAGGAGGAGGAGGAGGAGGAGGAGGAGAAGGAGGAGGAGGAGGAGGAGGAGGAGGAGGGGGAGGAGGAGGAGGAGGAGAGGGAGCAGGAGGAGAAGGATGAGAAATTTGGAGGAGGAGAAAGGAGGAGAAGGAGGAGGAGGAGGAGGAGGAGGAGGAGGAGGAGGAGGAGGAGGAGGATGAAGAGGAGGCGCTGGAGGAGGAGGAGGGGGGAGTGCGATAGACTGGAAGAGGAAGAAAGGCCACTTTTTTCGGGCGCCTTCGGGGTCCTCCGAGGGCCCCGAGGGGCGAAAAGGTGCATGAATGCCCTGGGGGGGCGGGGGGCCCTTCCAGGGCCGCCGCCACCCCCACCACCCTCCACCCGCGAAGCAGCGCTCAGCCTGCGGGCGTGCCGCGCGGGCGCGCACGCGGCGCGCGCGCGCGCGCGAGCGGAGCCGCCTGCGGCCGGGCCGGGGCGCCCCCGAGGTGCAGACGAGCCTGAGCTCCCTGCAGAACGTCTTCGTGACCTTCAAGTCCTTCGACCTGATCCCCCGCCAGTGCGCGGCGCTGCTGGACGCCCGGGGGGCCGGCAGCCCGCCGGAGGTCGCCGGAAGAGAGGGCCGCCGCCCCTCCGCCTCGGGCCGTCGGAGGGCCTCCTCGGGGCCTACGGAGAGGCGCCGGGAGGGCGGTGGGGTGAGGCGCAAGCCTGGGCGGCCAGCTTCGCTGGGCCGTGTCGGAAGAGGCCGCGCTTCGGCCAGCTCCAGGATGAGGACCAAGGATATCGAAGCGCCCAGGTCAAGGAAATGATCCACGTGTGCGACTTCTCGGGGCCCCCTTAAGGAAGGCTCTGAGGGGCTCTCGTGGGGTGCCTCGGAGGTTTCTTGGGCCGTCATGGGGCCATGGGGCGATTCGGGGCCCTCTTGTACTGTCTTGATGGCCTATTGGGACCCTCTTGGCTTGTCTTGGGGATATTTGAGGCCCGGCAGAAAGGAATCATGCGACGAGCCGCGATGGGCACCAGAGGGCCCGCGACAAACCGCAAATTGCAAGCAAGTCTCCAGCGAGAGCGCGACTCCAGAGCGCCGGGAGAGCGATTCCTGAATAAATTGTAAGGAAGTCCCAAGCGAGAACACGATTCCTGAATAAAATGCGAGGAAGTCTCTGGCGGGAGCGGGGGTCTTGGCTAAATTGTGAGGAAGTCTTCGGCGGGAGCCGTTGTTGTTGTAACCCGGGGGCCAGGGGCCCAGTTTGAGCATCAAGAGTTCCCCTGTCAAGAAATAGGGTGCGAGCGTCGAGGGGCACACGTTGATTGAGAAAAATCAGTATACACCGGTGGGAGGATCAACAGCAGCAACAACAACAACAACAACAACAACACTAACACCACTAACAACACTAACAACACTAACACCAACAGCAACAACAACAACAACAACAATAACAACACCAACAACAGCAACAGCAACAACAACACTAACAGCACTAACAACAACAACAACAACAACAACAACAACAGCAACAACAACAACAACAACCACAACAACAACAGCAACAACAACAACAGCGACGACGAGAGTGCGGGGGCGGGAATGGAGGTGGACGCGTGAGCGGCAGCGGAGGCGGGCGGGGGGAAGGCGGAGACAGGCGGAGGCGAAATCGAGGGGCGAACATGGGGAGAGAGAGAGAGAGAGAGAGAGAGAGACGCCCCATCTCGTATCCCCCCTCGCCCCCGAGGACAGGGGGGCCAAGTACACCTCGCACGCCAGGACCTTGCAGCTGCTGGCGGAGAGGGACCACGAGAGCAACGACCACATCTTGACGAGGGACTTCAAGGGGATGGCGGACGGAGGGACGGATGAGACAAGGGGTGGGAGGCGTTTGAAGGTCATGGCGAGGCGAGCGGGAAGGAAGGGGCATGCTCCTTGTTTTTTTTTCCGCCCCTCACCAATGTCTCTCTCTCTCTCTCTGTGTCTCTCTTTCTTTCTCTCTCTCTCTCTTGTGTGTTCCTCGATATATTTTATCGTTTTGTTGGTACTCTCTCTCGAGCTCGAGCTCTCTCTTGCAACGCGAAGGAGAAGATCATTAAGACAACAACACTTGTATACTTTTACAGTTAATCGCTTCGCTCATTTCGCCGGTCCTTATTGCCGCACCTCTGTCGATTTTGGGGTGTATTCTTGAGGGGGTCGCAGTGACTGTGGATTTGGTTTCGGGGGTTCGTCGCAGATTCTGATCGGTGATTTTCTTGTGTCGGTGAGGGGTTGATGATTCTGGATGGTCGTTGTGGGGCCATGTCGCAGATCGGACGTATGTATTCGTCGCAAGCCTGAGCCTTTCCGTTTGGGAGGGTGGCGGCTTGTGAATGCGACCGCAGGAAGAGGAGGAGGAGGAAGAGGAGGACGAGGAGGCGAGTGAGGAGGAGGAGGTGGAGGAGGAGGAAGAGGAGGAGGAGGGAGGATGGGGAGGAAGATGAGGAGGAGGAGGAGGAGGAGGAGGAGGAGGAGGAGGAGGAGGAGGAGGAGGAGGAGGAGGAGGAGAGGAGGATGAGGAGCAGGAGGAGATGAAGCCTTTGGGGCCGTCTTGGCGGTCTACTGGGCCGTGTTGAGGCCATCTTGGGCCGTGTTGAGGCCATCTTGGGCGGCCTCGGGCGGGAGCGGGCGGGTCCTGCAGGGAGAGGGGCGCCTGGCAGGGTCTATTTCGATCCGATTCGAGGCTCTAGGTGTTCGAGGCTCTCTAGGAGGGCCTCTTGAGGCTCTCGTGGGGCTTCATGGTGGCGTCATGGGCCGTCTGGGGGCCACCTTGGGCGTCTGGGGATGGCCTTGCGGGTCGGCAAGCTATGAAGTTCAATTCGAGTTCCCCCGACGAGGCCCCTCTTAGGGCTGTCTTGGGCTGTCCAGGGGGCCTCGTGGGCCGTCTTGGGGCCCTTTTGGGCAGTGTTGGGCCCATGCTGGGAGCCTGTTGGGTCGTCTTGGGGCGATCTTGAAGGTCTCTTGGGCAGTGTTGGGCGCGCTGGACCTCGAACCGTCGCATATGAGCAACGTGTACGTGTTCTGAAGGGAATGGGACATGTTTTGCTTGTTGAGGCTCTCTAGGAGAGCCTCTTGAGGCTCCCTTGGGGCTTCTTGGCGGCGTCTTGGGCCGTCTGGGGGCCATCCTGGGCGTCTTGGGACGATCGTGCGGGTCGGCAAACTGGAAAGTTCATTTTGTGTTCCTCCGATGGGGCTCCTCTTAGGACTGTCTTGGCTGTCCAGATGGCCTCGTGGGCCGTCTGGTGGGCCCTCTTGGGCCGTGTTGGGCCCATGTTGGGAGCATGTTGGGCCGTCTTGAGGCGATCTTGAAGGTCTCCTGGGCAGTGTTGGATGCGCTGGACCTCGAAACGTTGTATATGGGCAACATGTACGTGTTCTGAAGGGAATGGGACATTTTTTGCTTGTTTGAGGCTCTCCAGGAGAGTCTCTTGAGGCTCCCTTGGGGCTTCTTGGCGGCGACTTGGGTCGTCTGGAGGCCATCCTGGGCGTCTTGGGACGATCGTGCGGGTCGGCAAGCTGGACAAGTCATTTCGAGCTCAGGAGAAGAACGCTAAGACAACACCACTTGCATACGTTTATATTGTCGGAGGTCCGCGCGGTTCCCTCGGATCGGCGCAGGATCCCCCTCCATGACGCCCGGCTCACGCTTGGGCGGCGCCAGATGCGCCGCCAGGGGGGCCCAAGCCCGATCCGAGAAATCCGCTTGGACGTCCGAACAAAAATGTGTATGATGTGTGCGGTTCCACTAATGTCCCTTTCCCTCCGCCCCCCCTCGCTCACATCTACATCTGCCATGGTAATCTTAGGTGGTTCTCCTGATACTGGATTGAGTATTGCCCCGCCTATGCTGCTTGTTTTGTTAGACCCGATTGTACCGCGTTGCTTTATATGTGGTTGGTGTCCTTTCACAGCGTTCTCCTCCTTTCAGGAACGCCCCCCCTGCTGCAGTGTCGGCCACATCTCAGTGTCGACGATCCGCTCCCGTCGTTCAGAATGGCGTTCCCGCCCCGCGCGGGCCACATGTCTGGATGTGATTCTTTCGTCGTCGTTGTCGACCCCCCCCAATCCTTTCCCATCCTCCACGTTCCCTTGGTCTTCCTGCTCCCCCCGCTCCTCCGATCCAGCTGTCTGCGGCAAGGCCCGCCACCGTGCCCGCCCAGCACCTTTGGTGGCGGCTGTTCGGGGGGTGTACGGGCGGCCATGTTTGCCGTCTGGGGGGCGTTCTTGCGACCATTGTGGGATCACCTTGGGCCGCCAAGGGGCTCTATCAGGCAGTCTCGGGTCCCTCTGGAGGCCCTCCTGGGCCAGCTTGGGGTTCCCTTGGGGCCGTCTAGGGCCGTCTTGGGTTGTCTTGGGGCAGTCTTAAGGGATTGTCGGGCCATTTGGGTGCCATTTTGGGCAGTCGTAGGGACATCCTGGGGGCCTTGGGGGCCGTCTGGGGTGAAGGTAGCCAGTAAAGGTGAAGACGCGCAATTCATTGAAAGGCATAAGGGGTAAAGTAGATGTGCCTCTCCAGGCCCCACTGGAGGTCCGCTTGTGGCCCCCTCTTCGGCCGTCTTGGGGGCCTCTCGAGCCATTTGGGGCCATCTTGGGCCGTCTTGGGCTCTTCGAGGCATCTTGGGTCATCGTAGCGGCCTTGGTTGCATGCCTCTGTCGCCAGTCAGGCTCGAGAGCGCGGGCCCACAGCTTCTCTCACGCAGGGGCGCTGGCCCGTCGCCGTTGCACAGAGGGTCGTGGCCTCGGAAGCGCAGGCCCTTCTTGTTAGTGCGAGAGGACGTGGCCTCGGGGGTGCGGGCCCACTGCTTTGTGAGGAAATCGGGGGGGGGCTGAGCGCTTAGGTTTATGTTGCGCCCATCGTACTTAAGGGCCACGCCCCAGAAATGATCCCGGGCACCCGGAAAAGTGTCGAAGCAGTGTCGGAACAGTGTCGGGCGAGTGTCTCCCAGGGCCCGACACGCGAAAACCCTGGAGTTTCGGTACTTTTTTGGTGCTTGAAGTTATTTCTGGTGATCAAGGCTAAAGTTGGTTGGAACATCATAAGCTTAGGTGCGTCCGAGAGTGGGGTGGGGCCCCTCAGGAGATCATGGGAACCTTTCCAGGCGGCCCTCGGCATTCCACGGCGCCTCGCTCAGCATGCCCAGGGGCACGGTGGCGGACTCCTGATCGTGCTGTTGCTCCTCCTTTCTCTTCCTCGCTCTCAGGTATCTCCAGGCCGCCGGAGCGAGGTCCTCCGTGGCAGCGCGCTCGGAAGTGGCGGAACTGCCCCGAGCCAAGATTCTTCGTGCCAGATGCCTCGGCAGGGCATTGGCGCAGGGCCGCTCTCCCAGTTGCGCTGCTCTGGCTCCTGCGGTGGGCACAGGAATCGTGGATGGAGGACCCACTGCCAGGTGTGCGGGAAGTCGGCGCTGCCGTGGGCCCTTCAGGCTATCGAGCAGCGACAGACACTGCAACCGAAGGCCTCCGACGCCGCCAGCGCGCCCTTGGGGGGGGGGGAAGTGGGGTCAAGGTCTGCACAAGGACTGCACGCAGAAGAAGAACATCAAAGAAGCGGTGGCCCGGGCAAAGAAGGAACTCCAGAAAGAGCTGCAGGACACGCTCTTAGGCGATCCCAATATGGGCCTTTCTGGGGGCAGCAGCGAGCGATCATGGCCAATGTGTCTGGCTCCAGCGAGGTGCAGCAGCTCAAGGAGAAGCCCGCCGGAGGATCTGGACACCGTCATCAAGGAGAAGAAGATGGTCACCGCGGCCCAGGCGCTGACTGCGTGCGAGGGGTCGCTCGAGTCGCTCGCGCAGATGGTCGGCCCCGCAAAAGCGCCGCGGCCGGGGCCGCCAGCGACGCCGAGCAGGGCGCGCAGGTGGAGGCCGCGCGGGCCGATGACGAGCGGGCGCGCAAGGCGGAGGTCGAGCGAGCTGCGGCGCTACGCGCTGGGGCTGCTGCCTCTGCTGCTGGCGGCGCCGACGGCGTGGACACGGCAGTCGACGACGGCGACCTGGGCGGCCCCGAGGTGCACAGGGAGCTCAAGGAGGCAGGCTTGGGAGATGTCGATTTCAAGCCGGAGAAGCACAGGACCAAGGCCAAGCGCTTGCAGGACCTCCTCCTGTCCAGCAGGGAGAAGCAGCGAGTTCGACCAAGTCGTCGGCGGCGATCTCGGGAACCCCGCGGCAGAACTGCGCCAGCGTTCCCCGCCTTCGGGGGGGTGGGGTCGCGTGGGCAGGGAGGTCAGTGAACAGGATCATCCCGCGCCGAGTCGAGCTGCGAGCCTCGACGTCATGACGGCGAATCTGACTACGCGGTCCTTCGGGCAGGACTTTGCCAGCGGGCAGCGCCGATGCCCGCCGCTGGATCTCAAGGGCCGCAGGGGCCGCAGGCGGCGCTGATGCAGGAGCACCGCGTCGAGGAGGCGAGGCTGGTGGCCTCCGCGAGGAGATGGGCATCCAAGGCCAGTCTGAGGCCCGTCTTCGGGCTGGCGGAGTCCATAGGCGAGGCGGCGATGGAGTCGCCCAGCGCCGCGGCGGTGCCCGTTCCCTTCCCGATGTTCGACGGCTTCGACGCGCTGATGGAGGGAACCCCACGGAGAGGGTTCCGGGTCGGAGTGGTCGACGCGGGCCTCGGGATCCCGCTCCGCTTCGTCAGCCTCTACCTCGCCGCGAAGGTCGGGCTGGCCGAGCCCGACCCCTCCCGGCGCGACATGTTCGCGTCGGGCCTGGCGGGCTCACCCGGGCCGCGGGTTGTCGTCGGCGGCTGGGGTCTGGAGCCTGACTAAGTCAGGGAGTGGGCCAGGCTAGCGCACGGGG